GTGAAGTTCTATAGTGCTTCACCTATACCTCATCACCGTCCAAAGTTCATCACATGGTCACAGTTGTCCAGTAGTATTTAAATTTTTATAATTATTGTATTAATCAAATTTATCTAAAATTCGGGGCCTATACACATATGACCAAGTCATACCAAAATAAAATATTAAAAAAATATTACGCATAAAATAAAATGACAAATTACCCCTGAAACTTTATAGGGGTATTTTGCATAATTTTTATCATTCAAATTATTTATTTTATATTTTATTCATGTGCATCTCACTAAAGTGCACACACCTACAAAATTTCAGATTATTATGATATGAAAAAAACGATTAAAATTCAAACACTATCAGATATTTGTGACCGTGTGATAAACTCTGAACGGTGATAAAACCGTAGGTGAAGTACGGTAGAACTTCACCTATAGGCGTTTTGTAGTGTTTTTCATATATATATATATATATATATTCATATGTATGTATATAGGGTAAGGGTTGTAATTGATTATGGAGAAATGACCTGTACGCTGGTTAGCTTTTTACAGAATGAGAAACATATTATTATTGCCTTGAAGATAGGTACCTTTGGAAATTAGGAGCACACTTTTTGGAGTTAAGACTATCTTGAAAAGGGGGCCTTAAGTTAGATAGTCAACTGTCTTGTCTTTCATGGTTGGAATAATTTTTTGGGCATGCATGGTCAAATTCTACAGCATTAGCCGGGCTCCAAAACACCATTAATTTGTTGGACTGTGGCTCCAGATTTAACTACAACTCTGGTCTGTCCGTCCTATTCGATGATAAGACCTACAGTTTTAAGAGCTTTTTTGTTTCTTTTTTCTAAGGTGATTCAAAGATCTATTAAAAAAAATAGGAAAAGTGTAAAAAATCCTCTTAAAACGGTTTTGGAGGTGCCGTCACGGCTGTAGTAGTTGCCATGATCCGTTGGAGGGCTTTCCTTGTGGTAAGCAGAATTAATCTTTCTTTAATAGGGTTACCTTGAATTGGACAAGATTTGTTGTACTGGTTCTCATAAATTTCAGCAACCCTCTTTATTCTCTTAATCTCTTTCATGAAAGTGAAATACCTTGCAGGAATCTGATCATTCTAAATTTTTTGACTACCTTGTAAATGGGACCTCACGTATGATAAGATATTAAACTGTTTTGCTTTTCGCATTAACAGAGTATCCTCCGTTCGTGGGGAAACCTTGAATTCGACAAGATTTGGGGTGTGCATAATAGAATGGGTGTTCATATATATTTATGTTTCAATGACCCTCTCTTTTATCGTTCTTAAAAAATGAAGAAAATAGCAATTTAAATATTTCATGAAAAGTGAATTCACAAATCTTATTATATCTAATATGTATATATATATTTGTTTTTCACAGGATTAAGTCAACAAAGTCCCGGGGGCCTGCCACCACCACCATGGGAGGTTCAGCCAACGCAAAATAACCAACCGACCGGTTTCCCAAACAACCAACAGACTGGCTTCCCAAACAATCAACCAACTGGTTTCCCAAACAGCCAACAGACCGGTTTCCCAAACAATCAACCAACTGGTTTCCCATATGGCCAGAGATTCGAGGCCCAATTCCTTGAACAAGGAAGACCGGCTTACTCTTTTATTACCCCTCAAGAGCTAACTCAAAGAACATATGGTCTCTCTCTTCAAGATGAAAGGTACAATATGAGCCCCTACCAGATGAGCACCTCTTCTTACTTGAACCAGCAGCCTATGAATAAACCAGCCAAGCCTGAAGATAAGCTATTCGGGGACCTGGTTGACTTTGCCAAATCAAAGCCTAAAGCCACACCTAGCAAAGTTGGAAGTTTGTAAATCATTGTGAGTGGGTTTTCTCTTTGTTTCTTCACTTTTTGTCTCTCTTTTTTCTTTTGAATTATTTTATTTTATTTTGTTCAAAATGGGTTTCTTTTGGTCCTCATATTTATATGTTTTAATCATTGAAACCATCATGTAGATTGAGCGGTTTCGCTTTTGGTGTTCGTGGTTTTAGGTTTTCTTTGTGCTGGTTTTGGGCCCTAGCCTTGTCCACGCTTACCTAATTTTTTTTTTCAAGGGGAAAAAAGAAGAAGAAAATCATGTATAGTCTTCTCTTACATGATATTATTATGATTGTTTTGATTTTTTGTATAGGAAAATAAATGAGTATTGAGGAAAATGGGAAACAAAAAAGAACCAATGTTGTGCATTGTCCCTCCTTTTTCCACCCCTCCAGTGTTTAAAAATTAAAATAAAGCCCCTGCTCGGCTGGGTCGAACTCAGGCAGTTCCTGAGTTGGCCAGGGCAATAGTTTTCACAGAAATTCTCGGGAAGTTAATGATCCGGGGATTGTCTATTCGGAACCCTCCACCTTTACATGCATTGCTACCAATTGACTTGATACCAGGGGGAAAACATAATAAGTATTTTTTCATAGAAAAGAAAATTAGTATATATCAGTATTAATTTCCATCAAGTATCCTGCTGAAGTGTTTCACTTTTTAATTTTTGTGAATTGAAGGACGGGTGACTCAAATTGGATTTTAGACCTATTGGTTCTGTATTTAAGTCCAAACCAGTTGGACTTTTTAAGTACAATGCTTGTGGTTTGACAGGGATGGACATGCGCAACCCACCTGTGAGAGATAGAGAGAGAGAGAGAGAGAGAGAGAGAGAGAGAGAGAGAGTACATAGA